TACACATCCACTTTTATAAATAAGATGTTAATTTAATTGATTTATGTACACTGAGACCAAGTTAGAGTTAGTATAAAGAACTCCAATTAAAAGTCATGGACTGCCTAGAAAATGAATTCATGATAAAGAAGAAATTTTACATAATTTTTGCCTTTTTATTTTCATGAAAAAAAGAGTATATAAAACCCATTTATTTTTGCTCCTAATGAGAACAGAAGTCACTGTTCTGTGTAGTTTGGGGGGTGGTGGTGGTTTTTTAATGTTAGATTAGTGACTGGAAATGGAATAAAGTTCTTTGAGAATGCTGCTAAGGAGATGGAAACAATGTTTGAGGGGGGGATTTGCTTTTAGCTACAGAAAAGAAGAAAGATTGTGCCCTCATATTTATTTATGTGGAGTTGTCAGTAATCATTGACCTTATGTAGTTTACAGTTACAGGCCCTACTGGATGCCCTTATTCCGGAATATGCGTAAGGCAGAAATTATCCCTGAAGTCGGTACCGTGACTCTTTTTTTTAATACAACCTGTACTTTGCCATGGTGTTTCTTCCATTCAGCTGTTGCCATCTCCTACTCTCCTGTAAACTAAACACTTTTTTTTATGTGGTTGTACAGTTTAGTGAGACAGAGGTTCTGCAATGAAAAAGTATGCGATTCTTACCAGATCTCACATTCAGTTTGGATTTGTTCACCTCTTCCATAAGAAAGGCCACCATATTCACATGGACACTCCTCAGCTGGAACACACTTGCCATCGAGATTTTCATATAGGCCATCAGCACAGACACAGCCTGATTCACATTTAGTTGGTATCTGGTAAAGGTCAACAGATTGCAAAATGAAAAGAACTGTGAGATGTATTTTATCCTGGATGTGAATGGTGTCAAGAGTGAACCTGTGCCAAATTCTGTTTTGACTTGATCTTAGTTTTGTGATGTTCCTTGTACTAACGTGCTAGTCAACTTTCACTGAAGTTGTAAAATATACTTGTGGTGTGGGATATTAAACATACCTGAAGACTCTGAAAAATTGATTTTCCTTTACTATCAGTCTTTTTTCAGAAAGAGTACAACAGAAGTTTCTTTATATCAAGGAAGCTTATCACAATTCTTCCAATTAGTCTGTTTCCTTAATATAAAATTATAAGAAAACCCTATCAGGACAGCCCAGATGTTCATCTAGTCCAGGTCTCCTGCATTCTGTGACTGGCAGCAGCAGAGAGTTGAAAAAAAATAGAAAAGGAAGCATAACATGCAGCTTATGGAGTACTTGAGTCAGAGGTGATAGCCATGTAGTTAAGAATCCTTAATGGACTTTTATTCCATTCATTTAATATAATTTAATACATTAATTTATGCAATATAATTCCTTTAATCACTTCTTAAATATATGTACATTTTTTTGTGTCCACAGTCTGTGGAAAGAAGCCTGATGTTTAACTGTATCATGCTAGATGAAATATCTCCTTTTATTTTATTAGAGGGAATGTAGTAAAGTTCTAAGTAACAAATAGAACATTCTAACTCTCTCAAGAGGATACACAACCCAGATCTGTGAAACTCACACATTCAATTCCAGTAGCCAGCATCTGACAGGTAGGGGCACATGCAGCTCCATACTTGTTTTCTAAACTGTCAGAACATGATATGTATTTCTTAGGAGCTTTGCAGCTTTCTAGGGAAAAGGAACAAAAACAAACATTGAAAAGATCACGAAGTGGTAATTTTACAACATAGGGGAAAAAAATATGTTCCTGAGTAAACCATATCAGACCCATACCTGCAGGATTTTGAGGTTTGCCTGTGCAACTTAGCCTTCCATTAACACAGTAGCTAGGGAGAAAAAAAATAATTCAATGCAAATCTCTCCTGAGAAAGAAATTTTTATTTTTTGCAAAATAACTTCATTAGAAATATTTCATTTATGTTACTAGCTCCTTCCCATCCTTTGAAATGGAACATAAGTCAACTTGTCTCTTTACTTTTTGTATTACACAGTAACATTAGTTTTGGAAGCATATGGTAGGATATTATCACTATTATCACTAGTAGGCAATCATCACTATTATGATGGTCTATCAAGTCATTCTTGAAGTTAGTATATAGTGTATTGTATATAGTCCAAGTGCTGTTGACAAAATCTCCTACTAGGAATAATCAGATCTTACCTAATATTTTCTATTTTTCTCTATAACATTCCCAAGCTTAAGGTAAGTCAAATGCTTTTTGTTCATTTAAGGATATTTGTGGTGTTGCCTTAGAGTTTTTGATTTTTTAATTTTTATAGACTTTAGAAGTAGTTATGTAGTGAATGTAGATTTTAAAGTATATCCCTCACCCCTTAGCACAGTAGTTTACACATTTTCCCAACACTGTTACCCCTTTCCCATATCAAAATTCTGTTAAGTCCGTTAGTTGTTTAGTCTTCTTTTCAATGTAGATTTGCAGAAAGCACCTTAATGCCTGCCCCAAGGAATGTAAACATGGGCACAACGACCTTCAGGCCAAGACTTTGGAGAGCCTCCAAGGGCTGCATGTGCTTTGAGGAAGAGGAAGATGATGAAAGACGGGTCCCAAACTCCCCCAAACTCAATTCCCAAAGGGGTGTGCCAAGGGGCAGAATGGGGCAGAACTAAGGGGTGGACAAGTGGGGATTGGATGGACATCATCATAAAATTG